CTACAGCGCGCCCAACTACAGCGCCTTCCTGCCCTACACCGCCGACCTCAGCCTCTTCTCGCAGATGGTGAGTTGCGCTTCGGCCTGGGCGCGCTTTGGAGGGGCCGGACGGAGCGGGGGATGCTCGGGGGCCGGAGGAGAGGCAGGGAGGGAGGGAAGGAAGAATGGAAGGGAGCAAAGGAGGGAAACCAGGCCGGGCTTGGGGAGGGCAGGGCAGGGCGAGGGGGGCGACGCCGGCTCGGCCAACAGTTCCGATCGAGCCCCAAAGTTAGCCGGCTGCTTGGGTGCGCTCGGGCGCACGGCTCCGGGACCTTCTTCATCCGAGGGCAGCGCGGTGCCCAAAGCGGGAGCCCTCCTCCCTGTTTGACCCGCGCGCCTTTCCCTCTTCTCCCCAGCCTTCCCGCGTTCCCACGGCGAGGCTTCTCCGCTGCCTTAAGGCCGCGTTCAGACGTCTCCAACCGCTTCTTCCCACCCACCCCCCCAAGAACCACAATCGGCGACAAGAGCGCCGGTGGCCTCGAACGCTGAGCCCCTGCGGGCGTCTTCCTGCCCTCGACGCGTTTGGCTCGCTCTTCTCCCCGTCTCCAACCCGGCTTTCGCCTCCCCTTTGCTGCCAGAAGTGGCCGAGTTTTAATTAATTTGGCGTAATTAACGCGGGGTGGGGGGGGAAGAACAGGGGCGCGAAAGAGGCTCCGGAGAGCGGCGCCCCTCCGGAGGCTCGGCAAACAAAAATTGGAACGGGCTCCGCAACCTTTCCCAGCCGGCCAAAAGCTCGTCGCCCACATACAGTATTTGCTAAATAAACTCGTCTTTTTCATTCACTGCCGCGAACTTGACTGGAAATGCCCGGCCGAGATATGTTTGCTCGTTTCCTTCTGCTCCCCCGCCCGCGCTCTCCATTTTATCAAACTAAATTCTTTTTTGAAGTCTGTTCAAATGGCATATTTGGGGACGGCGGCGGTATCCCTGGGCCGGAATTTAAATTAAAAGATGGGGATGTTTACTGTTATCGAAGTTTGTTTTGCAGAGAGCGTGTTTTAAGGCTCGTTTAAGGTTCTTTTCAGTGAAGTGTTTTCATGTGAATTCCCAAGAGAAATGTTGACCTCATGTTGCTAACAATAACAAAACCAAGTCGGGATAAAAAACTTTTTAGTCATTTTTCAAAAGAAAAGCATCTTTTAGAGATGAGACTTTCCCCCTTTCTCTCTCTCTGACATGGACAGATTAATTTTAAACTTTGTTGAACGGAGTGTGATTATTTATTGTGGATGTGCCGCCGTGCTCTTGTACAAAACGGAGTTTTAAATATTGTGGAAAGAAAGAGAATTTATTATTACAGGACACTGTAGAAAGTAAACCGAATTCTAAATTCAGGCAACCCAGCGTGAGCAGAACAACGTAAGACAGAGACTGAAAATGGGCTGCCTCTTCTGGCTTAAATGATGAGTGGAAGCAGTAATGATTTTCAAGTGGCTACTTCAAAAGAATTCCCAACAGGGGAATTCAAAATTTATCATTTCAGCGACAAGAGCAAAAAATTGCTCAGTGAGATAAAGGGGGTAAAACAAGCATGCCCTGTTAAGAGTTATCATTTAAAAAATTACATCTTGTCCTTTCCAGATGGCATCTCCCTTTTCCCCCCTGTGATAATACTCTTGTGTGCTTTTGTTAAGAAATGCCATTTTCTGCTTATATTATTTATTTATTTATTTATTTATTTATTTATTTATTTATTTATTTATTTATTTATTTATTTTTAAAAATGTGGGTACCAAAATAAAAACAGATCCTGAAGTAGGAATATTCGAAATGATGGGCCGTGACTGAAAGAAAACAAATAAATGCTTTTGAATAACAAGCATCTCTGGCCTCACTAATGTTCTCCATGTTTGCAGTGACCAGCAGTTCCTCGAAAGCATGGCCCACTTCTGAAGAGTCCTTAGTTTTTGAGGGAAGTTCGAGGGATAAAGTCATAAAATTGGGTTGCAGGCGCATGTGCAATTTGCCATAATAATGGGGGGCTAATGAGGTTGTTAGAAAGATAAAATGTTATTTACCAAAACACCTGATGGGCTAATTTGACTTCACTCTGTTTTATTGCTGATGATAAAAAGTATATTGATTGAAAATAAATCACCTCTAGTAAAGACTTACAGAAAAGAAAAAATATATATGTTTTGTTCTCTTCGGATAAAAGGATTATTAAGGATGCGAAGGAATGGAATACATGTAGAAAACTAAAAAAAAATCCCCATCATCTCTGTGATTCTCATGCTACCAAAATGTGTGACTGGGTGGAAATGCACAGATAAAAAGTCACCTAGAATTTTGCATTTTAAAGTCCAAAGAGAAGGGAACTAAGCATGGAGGCTGTATTATTTCCTACTGAAATCTGATTGCCTTCACTGGGCTGACCTTGGACTGGTTTAATTTCTGTTGCATTCCTGTCTTTCTGTGTATATGTCTAAAGAGCACCATTTGCTGTCGTTCATCTCTCACCTTCCCGAGCCTTTGTGAGCTACTCTTTAAAATGCTGCTAGAGCTCAGTAGGAATCTGCCCTGCCGGCTGTCTGTTGCACCAGACATGCCCCAGCAGCCTGCGATGCAGTGATATTATCTTTCATGATGTGGGTCAGTGCTCCTTTCAGGATGCCTGCTTATTTTTAACAGCACAATAAATATCACCTCTTGGATGTGGATTTGGAAAATGAGGCAGGATGGGGCAAATGTTTTCAAAGGTGGTGCAAAGAAGCACCCCCATCTCTTTCTCTCTCATACTTAAAATAGAAGCTGATACTTAAAATAGAAAGGCAGGGCTCATGGAAAAGAGTCTTTGGTCGATTCCCTCATTCCTTCTTCTCTTCTGCTTTTCTGACTACATTGCAGGGTTCCCAGTATGAACTGAAAGACAACCCTGGGGTTCATCCTGCAACTTTTGCTGCTCACACCAGTCCTGGTTATTATCCCTATGGGCAGTTCCAGTATGGAGACCCTGGGAGACCCAAGAACGCAACCCGAGAAAGCACCAGCACCTTAAAGGCCTGGTTGAACGAACACCGCAAGAACCCTTACCCGACCAAGGGCGAGAAGATCATGCTGGCCATCATCACCAAGATGACCCTCACTCAAGTCTCCACCTGGTTCGCCAACGCCCGGAGGAGGCTCAAGAAGGAGAACAAGGTCACTTGGGGGGCACGGAGCAAGGACCAGGAGGATGGGAATCTCTTTGGGAGTGACAACGAGGGGGACCCTGAGAAAAATGAAGACGATGAAGAGATTGACCTGGAGAGTATTGACATTGACAAAATCGATGAGAATGATGGGGAGCAGAGCAATGAGGAGGAGGAGGAGAAAGTGGAGCTATTGCGGCAAAGGAGTGAAGAGGACCATTTGGAGAAGGAGAAAGCCTTGCCAATGTCAGGCCCCGAAGGACTTAAACCCAAAGAGGCCCTGGTCTTGGGCAAGGAGACTTCTGACAACCCCACCCGAATCCTGAGCCCCGGCAGACAGAACAATCTCCAAGGCGTCCTCCACAATAAGCCCAAGATCTGGTCTTTGGCAGAGACGGCCACCAGCCCAGATGGGACCCTCAGCAAGCCCACGCCTCCATCCCCTCCTTCCCAGGTGAACCATACATCTCCCCAGCTCCAGCATCCGGCGTTCCTCCCCAGCCATGGACTTTACACGTGCCAGATTGGCAAATTTCACAACTGGACCAATGGGGCCTTCCTCACCCAGAGTTCCCTGTTAAATGTGAGGTCCTTTTTGGGAGTAAACCACCACCACCACCACCACCACGCTGCCCACCACAACCACCACCTTCCAGCCCATCAGCAGCTGCAGCAGCCTCAGCAACATCCGCAGGCCACTGGGTTAACGGCTCTCAGCACTGAAAAGTCATCAGAGAGGACCAGCCCCAAACACATAGGTAACGTGGGAAGCAGGGAAAGGAAAGGAGGTTGCATGTGGCCTGCTTCCTTGGAGGGAAGTCTTACTTTCTGAGGACTTTCCTCAAGTCAATAGATGGTGGCAGGGGGAGGGGGAATCCATGAAACGTCTGTAGGCCCTGGAATGAAATTCTGTCTGGTGTGAAATACTTGGCCTGCTTCTCTCCCGGTATAAAATGTATTGAGAATCTTCTACCAGATAATGCCCCCACCTCAAGCCTTCATAGTTTTGTTGCTGTTTTTGCTGTTTAATCACGAATGCTAGGTCTGTGGCTTCAGGCAGGGGGAAGTAACACAAGTATATTCATTTGCTTTGAGGGTGGAGGGAAAATCTTAATCCCGAAACTCTTCAGGGCCCCCAGTTTGTCCTTATGCTCTTCTCTTCTTAAATTACCATATTAATTGAAGCTAGCTGTCAACAGGTTAAATCAAGACTAACTGAACAATTAATGGAGCCGTTTTGAATGGTTCCAAAGAGATAAAATGCATTGTTTACAACAGCTTTGCAAGGTAGACCTCTGTATTGCAGGGGAAGGGCTGATACAGGACAATTGGCCTCACTGAAACCACCTGAAGAGTTTATGGTCTAAAGAGGGGAATTTCTTGTTCACAGATCAGTAGCTAGGCAACTATACATTTCTCTTTTCTTTTCTTTTCCTTTCTTTTTTCTTTAAGTAGTGTAACATGAATATTGCTGAGTTGGTGAAACCATTCCCTTGTGCATTAACATCTTCAGCTCTGTTTTGTGTGACCATATAGTTGAACTTTGCTAAGACATGTCTTCTCCCCCCCTCCCTCTCCCTCTCTCCTGTTTCTTTTCTCACCCCCACCTCCCACAGAAAGAGAAAATCTACCAAGGACTGACTCTCCGCCTCAGCAGTTAAAATCTCCCTTTCAGCCTGTCCGGGACAAGTGAGTTCTTGTTCACTGAAATTTACTTAAAGGAGAGAAAGTGCTGGGATAATACAGACTAATCCAAGCACACCCTCATTATCATAAATCAAAGCAACAATCAAGCAGTTCTGTAAAGGTTTTCAATGTGGTGTAAACTTACAAACTATCTCCTTCAGCCTGGACGTTGGGGTGGGCATGTGTGTTTATAAGGACCAAATTCCCACCACCGCCAATGACAAGTCAGGTTTCTATTGTGTAAAATCTAGATACAGATAGATATTCCTAGCTTGTTCCCTAGTGCAGATGGGCGAGCGAGCGGTAGCAGAGCTTTCACTGATAGATGGTTCTGTCTTTTCTTCCCAACAGCTCTTTGGCTCAGCAAGAGGGAACATCGTGAATTTTAACAACCCTCCCTTCTGCTTGATTAAATGGGTTGTGCTTTTTGTTTTCTTCTGTCTTTTTTTTTTGTTTTTGTTTTTTGGGGTTTTTTTTCCTGGTGGAAAAGAGAATTTCACAGACTGGTCTAAAGAATAAAACAAAACAAAATTGGAAATGATCTAAATGACTTCCATCCAGCTTCTCTTCCTCCTCCTCCCCTCTTTCTTTCTCTCTTTTGCAATAAGGTGGTAACAATCTATTTAAAAAAAAACTTTTTCAGCTCCTTAATGGGATTCTCCCCATTTACAGTCTCCCCTTTTCCAAAATGTGTAATTCTAATCATAATTGGAATATTTGTTTTGGTAAAGATTTCTCATGCGTTTGTGTTAATTTTTTTTTCTGTATATAAAGTGATTTCAAATTGTAAATAGTGCCACAGCAAAAACTTGTCTAAATCGTATATTTTTGTCTAATAAACAAAATGAAATTATGACCTGGTCCTGCAGAAAATGATTTTGGGGTTGGGGGGGTTGGGGTTAGGGTTAGCACAATATAATTCCTGGGGCTTCATTGTTGTCCTTCCAGAGTTAGAAGGGCGGCTGGAAGGATTAATCATTCCAGTTGGTAGGTTAATCAACAAAAGGTTTGGTTGATTAATATTGATAAGATCGAATGAGCTAAATTTTAAATCACTGGGTCTGAAGGAATACCATGATAGTTTATTTCTGAGCCTACACTGCTCCTGGAGTGTTTGGTGTAATGAGGGAAGAAAAGGGAAACAATTATAGTTAGATTTTTCTTTCCTCCACTGAATGATAGCTTTGGTGTCTAAAAATGCTGAAATGTTTTAAATTTCCTTCCGCCGTTCAGAAAGAGCTTTGGTTTTAGTATGGTGCAGACACATTTAATTCTTATTAATGCCGAAGTAGATTACCTAAGGGGAAAAAGGGGAGAAAGTGGCTCAAAATATGGCAGCAGGAAAATATTTTAAATACGTAGCAAAAGAGGTGACGGATTTCTCTCTCAAACCAAGTTGTGCTTTTTATTTATCGACTCCTCGTGCGTGACACCCGGGCCGGTTGGAGTTGGCTAGGTGAGAATTTCTGGGTGGTTTTGATTGATAGACAGATTGACTATTGGAAGAGGTGATCTTTATTTCCCCCGCCCCCAACGGGAGGCGGCGGCGGGGGGGGGCGAGAGAGAGAAGGAAGACTGCCGTGTAATTGTTTTCAAAAGCAGACTTCCATGTCCAATTAATTTGAATGTAGGTCCCCCGCCAGTGAACGGAGAGCGATCCCCACGTGCCAATGGGACAGAGGTGGACGAAAACGGTAGCTTGTTGCAAGGCGGAGGGGAAAAAGGTCGGGAAGTCGGAATCCTGGGAAATTGGAACCGGGATGTCTCGGCTGAGCTTCTCCTGGATGTATACCTGCGGAATCTCTCTGTTCTTGCCGGAGTTTCGAGATCTTGGCATCAAATCGAGAAAAAGGAGGGAGAAGGGAAGAAAAAAAAAAGACGGAGAAACGGCTGAAGCGCCTGTCCCACGCGTCTCGCCTCCACCTTTCCCTTTCCCACGGCGAGGGAGCCGCGGAAACCGAGGGACGCGTCTCCAAGACGGCCGGCCAGGCTTTGGAGGACCCGGTCTGGAAACAAAAGTGGCCGCGCTCTCCCTCGCGGCCTTCCGCCTCCCTGCGCGCTGCAGCTCCCGCCCCGCGCTCCGATTTTTTTTCTTTCTCTCTCCCCCTTCCCTTCCCTAAATGAGAATGCTAAATGAGCATTGAGGTGCTAATCAGATACCAGATGGTTGTTGACGGCGGAAAATGGAAAGAAGCAGCTGGGAAAGTCATTAAAAAATCATGCTGGAGACAGCCTCTCCGAACTGCGCCGTCCTCGGAGCAGGACTTGTCGGAAGCCAGGACGAGATCTGAAATCAAATATTAATAAATCCCCCATCATGGGTGACAATATTGATCTGGATTTCCCCACCCCTCCAAAAACAAAAAAACAAAAAAACTTTTCACCTCTCTTCTCCCCCCCTCCCTTTTTCATTTTCTGTAACTGCAATAGTACCGAATTCAAAGAAGGGACTGGCTTCT